GCTGGACGTCTTTAAGTCAGCTGTCCCTGGTTGAGAAGACTGAAGTAAAAAGAGGCATTAAATACGTCAAGCTTCTCTGAATCATCCACAACTAAATTGCCTTCCACATTCAGTAAAGGACCTATGGTTTTTCTGCTCTTCCTCTTCCCCTTGACATACCTGTAGAATCTCTTTTATTGCTTTTATGTCTGTCAGATGTATTTCAAATTGTGCTTTTAACTTTGCAAGTCTTTATGATATAGTTGCAGATCTAACAGGTGCAGTACCTTTGTTAGCCATTGTAAGTAATTCATGATGTAAGTGTATAGATGGAGTCCTTTTTTTTTTTAATTTAAGCACCACTAGTAAAAATAACCAGAGATTTCATGATTTTAACTAGATCTTCCATCTCAAATATACCTTCTGGTCTAAAATGAGATGATGAGAAAAGAAGGCGCCTGTGCTCTGGGCACTTTACCAACTCTCCCAACTGACTACATTCCTGCTGATAGTGGCTTTTGGGAGAGTCTGGAACCCAGAGGGTGAGTACTGGCCACCACCACTTGTCCCCTAGTGGTGGGCAAACAGTAGCAACATTTACCCCCTAGGCTCTGGAGCCACACAAAAGCAGGGGCTCTAGCCAGACCCTGCCCTGATCAGCTGGTGAGCTCAGAGCTCACTGACAACATGGAGCTTCAGCAGAGGGCTGTGCTGAGCAGGCAGTGAACTCAGAGCTTATGGTGCTTGCACAATGCAGCCGAAGTGTGAAGGGGTACATACCCCACTTGCACCATTCCTGGATCCTCTATTGGTCAAGGAAAAACATTTTTGGAAGGAGGGGAGCTGGCAGAGGGGAAAGGGCACTACAGATGCCTACCTATGAGGACACTAGGATTTCTTGTGTGCTTAGTCTCAGAACCAAAGAAAATGGTATGGACCTCCTGGAGACAAAACCGTGAATATTGCTGGGCAGAGGTTTAGTGGGATTCCTCCAGGGCTTAGTGAAGGTTTGAGAGCTCTCTGTCTGGAAGGTGTTATAAATTAAGCAAGTTAAGCTGATGGGTTTGAATACTGATGTGCAGTAAAGACAACAGCTGTCTGGATGACAATTCAACCACTCTGTGTTCAAAAAGTCAAGAAGAAAATTAAAGACAAATCAGTTAAAATTCTGAAGAACTTATGTTGGCCCCGAGGGAGATTTCCCATCCTCTGTGTCTGTTTCAGATCCCTGTGTGGTACGCAGAGGCAAACAAATCTGCATTCTCTAGCCATCTGTTTCATAGGCAGTCTCCCTTTTACCCAGTCTGCTGCCAATTCACTTGTCTTTCAGAAAAAAAGAATAGTTCCAAGAGATAGAATAGACAGCTAAACTGCATTTTTGAAAATGTCACCTTTCATATTGTTATTTTCTTGCTCCACCCCCCACCACACACACAAAGCAAGTGGATGGATTCCTCTGAAAAATATGTCCCTTGTAGCTTTGGGTAAAAAAATATTTTATTAGGAATCTTAAGCCTGAGTGTAAGTGTACCATAAATTAAGTGAACATGGGAGTGTTCATGAGTTTTCTGTCTACTCTTTTGATCTGTGAACTTAGCATTACCCCATTAAGTTTCTTGTATGTGTTTGGAGTGAGCAGTATATGAAGGCGAACAAGGAAAAGCTGCCTATATCCTTTATCAGTCCTATCCTTGCTGCAGGGAACATGATTTTAAAAGGGAGTCCCCAGGCCCTCCCCATTCAAGAGGAGAAAAGATGATGTCAGTGAGGAGCCTGCAAGGGTAGGAATTTGGTGTCATGTAGGAGGAGATGAAGAGCTCCTCAGGGCTCAGACAGTGTTTCAGAGGACATATCCCCACACAGAAGAAAATGCTCGAAGTGACTTTGAAGGCCATTATAATCTCTTTTTAATGTGCATCAAGCAAAAATTCTGTACATCAGAGAGTGAGCATTTCCCCAAGGATGGTCTGTATGGCCAAAACACAAATCCAAACTTCATTCTGACCATAAATAAATTACTGGTTGCTTTGTTGACTACCTAGCTCCTACAGTCCCTAGGCATTTCCAGATTCTTGGAAAAAATGCTGCCTGTGCTTTGGGCACATCAGCTTTTAAAGGGGCTCACTATAGCAAAGAAGCAGGTGCCCAGGCCTAGCAGCGAAGGGGACCAAAATACCTTGGATAAATCATGTGAAAAGGCTTTAGTTTTGACCAGTGGTGTTAAATCTTTTCCCTGGCAGGCCAGATGGGCAGTGCCTGGTATAACCATGGGCAGAATGGTGGTTTCAATCCAGCACCCAAGGCTGGCACAGCAGGGGGGTAAGGGCAGACCTAGCACTGTAAGGGGAAGGGGGCATGGCCTAGCCCCATGGGAGAAAAGGGGGCATGGTCTAGCCCCAGCCCAGCCCAGCCCCATGGGGGGAAAGAGGGCATGGCCCAGCTGTGGGGGTGGAGATTATGATCTGGCCCCAGGCTGGCTCTGCAGGGAAAAGGGGCCCAGCCTCGTGGTGGGGAAAAGGGGCATGGCTCAGTCCCAACTTAGTCCTGCAGGAGGAAGGAGGTGTTGCCTGGCTCCAATTGGGCACGTGGGGCTTTGGGTTGGGGAATTTGACAGAGGGGAGCATAGCTGTATTAGTGGCCACCAGTTATCCGCTACTAAATTTCCTGAGCTGTGGGTAGCACTGCAGGCCAGATGTGATGGCTCTGCAGGCTGCATTTAGCCTGTGGACTGGAAATTAAGCAGTCCTGGTCATAACCAACAGCCCTTAATTCAAACTCCACAAACTATACCACAAGTTTGAAATAGGACATATTTTCTATCTTGGTTAATGTTGATAAGTAGAGTTCACCCTTCAACCTACAATACCATGTGTTCCTAATGAAAGCTGTAGTCAGACTGTGTTGGTGTCTCCTATTATTGGGTGCTGGAGGTATCATAATGTTATAGCTTGTCTATTTGTGCAAATTTGCTATTTCTACAGTCTGTTGTAATGCTAAAATAGAATAAGAAGATTATACTTATACAACACTTGCTTCAGAAGATGTTAAAGCTCTTCACAAAGGCAGTATTATTCCTGTCTTACAGATAGGAAAACTGAGGCATCAAGAGGATAAATGGCTGATCTGCCCATCTATGAATAAATGGCCCAAGATCAGACAGAAATAATTTGTGGTGTCAGAGTTGCCCAATCCATACCTGAGCCCTTCACAAGTGCTGCACTGAACACTGCAAGATCACATAATGGAAAAAATGTGATGACAGCAGGGAGTCTGAAATTAATTTGATTGGGGGTGGGTGGGCGGGTGGGGGGGAACCAACATGAGACACTATGTTGCTGTAGCATTGGTGGGCATGAATTGAGATACCGTGATACTGAAGTTACTGCTAAGTAGCTAAGAGCTACTGTGCAGTAGGGTCAGGAACAACCCATGTGCCATCAGGAATGTACAATAACGGCTGTGGAGTTAATTAATTTACTGTGCCCTAGTATCGGCACACATGTGGACAGTGAAGCTTTACTGCAGAGCTAATTAGTCAACTCAGCAGTAAAGCGTATATGTAGATGCATCCACTCAGATTTTAACTGAGAAGATGAAGGTGAAATATGGGCCTTTATCAGAACAATGAGTAATAAGCAGCTCTTGATTAGTAATTACACGTTCACACACAGATGCATGCACATGAATGTGCGTATTCACATACTGTTCTCTAAGCCCAAATGCAGTAAAACCTACAGGTATGTTGTGGAGTGTCATGCTCCAATAGGACTGATGGGCCTACTACTTCAGAAATCAATAGCAGAACTTCTGTTGACCTCACTGGGACCCTAACTTCAGCCCACTAATATCAATGTGAGGTTTTTTGACTTTGGAGAATATAGGGTCAGGCTCTGGAAGTAGAATTAGGGCCTAAAAGAATCCATATCCTTATGGAACAATACAAATGGGAAGAAGATTTTGATATATATATATATGTGTGTGTATACACACACACACACACACACACACACACACACACACATATATGAATCATTTCTTCAGTGTCCTAGTGCTATGCCCCATCATGTACCCCAGCAATCAATACTTATTTGTTGACAGCAATTTCACCAAACTCCAGCTTTGTCCAGTCTTGCTGTACCTTTTACATTTGAGCATCTCCTGCTGAAGCAAACAGCTGTTCCTCAAAGTAAAGAAGCTGATCCACTTCAAAACAGTCACTTGCTCTAGAAACCACTTTTTCTAGGTATTCCTTGACCTCATCCTCACTTGTATTCTGCTGTCTTGCTTGCTTGAGATAGCTGTAAACCCTTTCAAATACTTCCGATCCCAACTTCTGAATTGCTGATCTGTGAACAAATATTACATATGTGTCATATTCAAATGAATCCGTTTTCCATATTAAAATAAAGCAACTGACACTGGACATCAAAGACTGCATCTTTTTGCATCCAATGTATGCACCAGTCTAAGGATCAAAACTCCCTATAGAACTTTCCTATGATTAAACTGAATATAAAAGAGATAGCCCTAGGTTAAAATTCTGGCCCTGCTGAACTCAGTGGAAGTTCAGTCGTTGTCTTTATGGGAGCCAGAATTCCAGCCCAATGTCCAATTTTATGACTTCTTTTACAGTAAATCTAGTTCACACATGCATACTTACTGCTTCTGGATTTTACAGAATTATATCAAGCCAGATGTCAGTGGCATATTGTGAGAAAAAAATCACATTTCATAAATCATCCCTTAAACTCTTATCAAAAGATAGGGAAACTTTTGTACAAGATGTAGTAAGAACTGAAAAGACATTATTCTTCTTTATCAGAAGACACATCTGTACTTTGGTGATGAAAAACACTCATAGTCACTGAACACTGCTTTATAGGGAGGGTCTGGTTCAAAACTGCAAGACTGAGAACTGAATTTTAACACACCAGAAGGTTTGAAACTCTTGTGACAACCTACAAACAGTGTGCAGCCAGTATGTTCATAAAAGGATCAGGGAGAAACTTTCCCTTTTACTTTGTTAAAAACTACATGTTCCTGAAGTACATGTGCTTGCAAAGAAGATTCTGTTCATTACATCACTTGAACCAAACTCCTTCTTAAACATAACCAGAGGGAGGTCACACTATTTAGCAAACAAACAAACAAACAAACTCTCCTCCATATCTTTCACTTGAGCTCCATGTAGGACCATCCACATAGCATGTAGTTATTGCAGGATTGGGACCTTACCAGCACTGAGCTGCAGTGTGCTATAAATGTTTGCACTTTACCCTTACAAAATATGATGAGTATATTTAAATTATTGTGTGCTGTCCATTTTAAGAATTTGAAGTGAGTAGTAAAGAACTTATAGAGGGCTCTTAAGACAGCCCCTCTCATTCACTCAGGTCCTCTTTAGGTTAATAAATGTACCACAGTGTATTAGTTGGTCTAAATATGGGATTGTCCAACACTATATCATAATACCCATGCACAAAGGGAGAGAATTATGGCTGCACATGAAACTTTAGCTGTGTCATTTCCTTTCTCTTGAGTGTTTTTTTTTAGATCAGAGTTGTCCCTTGCACAAATTCCAGCAGTTTGCATACATAACCTTAAGTGATTTCTGATAGCAGCAGTGGCAACAGACAGTCTCTCCTCTCAGCATTTTTGTACTTTTGCCAGTACTTCAATATCAAATAGATAGTACAGGATTTCCCCTGGGATTTTATCCTGGCATACAGCCATTCTTGAATATAGTTTCTCAAAATAGCTTAAGAGTTTCATTTAACATGTTTGCCATATGCTAAAATAAATTAGAAGCATCTATTTTCCTGGGACCACTAGACTGGTGTTCTCAGCATGGACTAAAAGTGTCCCTCATTTTTTCTGGATTTCATTCTTACGGCTTCACAGCTACCCTTATTCTACATAGATTTGGTACCCCATAATTTTTATTGTTGAAAATTCTTTACATCCAAAATAATTAATGAGCTGAAGTGATGGAAAGAGTCACATGGCTAACAAAAAGAATCCTGAAGTATTGTAAGATCTGAGCATCATTTTGAAGGGGTGGGGTGTCTTTGCAAGTCTGTTGCATCCTGTCTCACACACTTGGATGTTGACTGAGAGGTACAGACTTCAGCATTCTCAAGGTGTTATAATGCTCTCACCTACACCTTTGATAACTGGTAGTGACTGGTCTACTATTATGATGATGCTTAGTATACATTTCCAAGTCCCTTGTCTCAGTGAGGAAGGAAATGGAATAGCACCATGTAGGATTTAAAGGCTGGAAACTTTAATAAATTTGGTTTTAAATGCCATTTACAGATTGGTTCTATCATACTCACAACCTAAGTTATTTAAGTTTAAAAGTGCACAAGGACTTTATGAAGACCCTGCATATGATAACAAGCACTGCTCCATACTTATTCACAGGGTTTGGGTTTGGGTTAGGATCATCTCCCCAGTCCTCTGACATAGTAGTAATGGGACAATAATGTTACAAAAGTACTGGAGCACCCTGAAACTCCTATTTAATAGGCTCTGGTGTTCTTAGAAAACAGCGATGGTAGAGAAAATAAGGAAAAAAATGTTTAGTTTGCTATTTCTTATTTTCTTCTGTGTGTAAAACTGTGCATAATTGGTAACACTAAATCTTTCCATTAGCATATAAAAGGTTGCAGGGAAAACACATCAAAAAGCATTCTAGATGAAGCAGCCCACAGCACTTTTAAAGGTTTCTTGACTGATGGACAGATTACTATTCTGCTGCCTCACCCAACCAGAACTAAATACAAGTTTCTCCTACCACTGTCTTTGCATGCTTTTCATCCCTCTTCTGATCTGCTGTTCAGCAATATGCTATGTTCCCCTGCTGACTCATAATACAAGAGCAAGGTTAGGCTCTGGTAGTAAAGAAAGATGAGATGCACCTTAGGTAGGCATGGAGGCAATCTCGAATCTCCACAGGCCTGCCTTCCCTGCACCTGCTGGAAACCCCCGTCTCTAGTGCTGGTTAGGAGACAAATTAAAACCTTGCAAGTGAGCTAGTCTTCAGCTGAGGCCAACCTGGAGTTTAGCTCATTGAAAAAGAGTTAAATAAAATCCTCTGTTTGCAAATAAAGTAAATATCTCAACACAGGGGTATCCAACTTCTGGACAGTTGTGGGGGGGAAGGGGTGCTGCATGCCACACAGGCTACAGAACATAGCACCACACACCACATGAGTCTCAGATCCCCAGGGTCTCCTTTGCTGTGTTCACAGCCCAGGGGCAGCTCAGTTTTCCTCTCCTATGTGTGCAAGACACTCCTACTCTCCCCCACTGCACCCATAGCCTAGGTGGCCCGGCTTTTCCCTGCCATGCACACAGACTAGGCATTCCCACTATCCCCTGCTGCATGTACAGCACCCTTCCACCTCCCAACCCCATCCCCACCCCTGACTCCACGAGCAGAGGTAGGAAAGAGACTGGAGGAGGAGCCTGGATGCTCTGGCCACCAAACTGCCAGAGCCATGGGGGTAGTGGCTGCCAGGTGAGGGCTGTGGCTGCCAGGTGTTAACCCCTTAAGAACTGCATGCAGCCCATGAGCTGCCAGCTGGACAGCCCTGCCTTAATGCAACTGAAGCAGAAACATTGCAGAGGTTAAAATAATTCATAAGAAAATATTTTAAAGTCATTTCTACTGCAGCATTCCATTTACTGTTTTTTTCTAAAGCTATGTGTTTAAATTTATCAGCCTTCCTGTCTATTTAAAGATGATAAAAAATAAACAAGCATCTCTGGAGCCACTCTTGTGCTAATAAATGTGACCTATGAACTATATCTTTTCTGTTTAGGTTGATAGAGCATGCAAATTAACATCCAAGAAAACTAATCTGTATAAAACTCAATACCAGTGGGATTAGGTAAAATGTTCAAAGGTAGACAACTAAGGAGAGAGTGTCAAAAATCTTAACCTCTGCATTCACAAGAGAAACCATTTTGCTGCAATTTGTATTTCAGAGTTTAGGAAAAGTTATTTGCCACATAACATATTTCTGGGGGAGGCAAAAGAGGGAGAGAATTTATTCGAGAGAATTTCAAATAGACTTTACTGTCAGACTTCATTTATACCCGATTAAATCAAACATACCTCTATTGACATCAAAGGATTTACACCAGAGGTGGGCAATTATTTTGGCTGGAGGGCCACTTAATGAGTTTTGGTTAGCTGTTGAGGGCCACACACGTAAAATCATTCAGAAGATTTATTTTTAACAAATTATAGATACAAAAAATGCTTTATTAAAAAATCAAATATAAACTATACCATATTTTAATTTATTTCAAAAATAATTTTTGTCCTGATTCATGCTTTTTTGAGTAGGGGATATGGAAGTGATTATATAATAGCTCAAAATAGTCTTACTCTTCTATTTTGTGTGGGTGTGGGGTGGGGGCCCTGTGTGCTAAGTCCTGGGAGCCAGCAGTAGGTGGGAGGAAAGGGGGAATGGGGCAGGGGGCATGTGCAGCAGGGCTTGCCTGGACAGTGCAGTGCAGGTGTAGGTACGGGTGTGGTCCATCCCCACCCCCCATCCAATCCATGGCTGCCCCTGTGGCACTCTGGATGGGGCTGAGTCCTGCCTGCTCTTGCCCATGGCAGCCCACACCATGCTCCCACCCACACCTGCTTCATACCTGCCAACAGTACTGCCTCAGCCCCAGCCAGCATGCACATCTTCCCGGCAGGGCTGTCTTCCACCCACTCAGCTGCCTGGAAGTGGCTGCTCATCGCTCCACGTGGCCGAGTGGGTGGAAGGCAGCTGGGACCTGGAGCTAGAGCTGGAGCCCTGCATGCTGAGGCTAGAGCACAGCAGGAGAAGGAGCGGCTGGAGGTGGCGGGGAGCCGAGCAGTACCTGGGTGACTGCAGCAGGAGCAGCTTGCTCCTGTGTGCGCTGGCTGGGGCAGTGTCATTGGTGGGCATGGGGCGGGTACAGGCCAGAGCATGGCACCGGCTGTCCTAGGCAGGAGTGGGAGGGGTTTGGCCCCATGTGCAGCACTGCAAGGGCAGCTGCAAGTCAGATGCAATTAATTGACAGACTGATGTAAAATGAGGGTGATACCAGAATCAAGACTACTGGGAGGTGATACCAGTCTTTTCCATATGGTCGTGGCCCTGCATCAGAAATAGGCCAGTAACAATTTTGTATCCCTGTGTCATTTCCTAGAAGGCATACCTGCAAGTTAGATACAGTTTTACTTACATCTGTGCACATGGCTACCTTGATTGTACATTCAGATAAGACACTTGCATGTCTAAATAGGCTTTATATGGTTAAACACCCTGTTTTGTACTTCCTGGGGCGTGCACTA